TTTTTTTTTTTTAATGTAAAATTTACCTACAATAAAGTGGACAAATGTTAAGTATACATTTGCTGATTTTTGATAAATCCATACACCTGTGTGGCCCAGCCTTTAAAGATGTAAATCATTACCATAACCCTGGAAAGTTCTGTTTTGCTCATTCCAGTTAATCCTTGTTCCTACTCTCCTCCAGACAGAATCACTATCCTGATGTTTCCCACCAGAGACCAATTTTACCTCTTCTAGTGTTCATATGAATGGAATCACATAGTATGCACTCTACTTTTGTGCAATTCTTTTCACTCTACATAATTTTGTTTTTGAGATTTATCTATTTTATTTATCTGTAATTCATCCCTTTTTATTAGTGAGTAATATAAGCCATTGTATGGATATACCACAGGTTTTTAAACTTCTCCTTCTGTTGATAGACATGGACCATTTTCAGTTTGAGGGTATAATAAATAAAGCTTCTATGAATACTCTTGTACAGTCTTTTTATGAACGTGTTTTTATTTTTAATTTTTGATAAATACCTAAGAGTGGAACTGCTTGATCAATTATCATGTTTTTTATTTCCTTGTAGTCTTCCCTTACCATACCTGGATTCATCTTCACCTAAGCATAGTGGTGTTGTACCCTGTTCTGTTGAATTTTTCATCTCATTTCTTTTCTCTTGACCTGGACTTATTTACTTCATTGAGTCAATGTATTTTTGCATTACACTGAGATTGCCAAACAGTTTCTAAAACCTTTTCTTCAGGTCCTTAAGGTAAATTATTTCCAGAAAGCCTACTCTTTATTTGAGCTTTTAGGATGATATATTTATTCCCTTGTTTGACTACATTTTACCTTCCTTCTTTTTTCTTCTTCTTACTAATATTTAAATAAGGAGGGAACAATGCTGACCACATCTTTGTTAATGGGTAGTTGAATTACCTGGATTCTTTTTATTATCTTGCATAATGAGTTAGACATAAAAGTCGGCAGATGGGTATTACTCCCCATAAAATTCTCAATATCTAGCAAATATTCATGACGAATATTCTGGATTGAGGCAGAAGTTTCTTTTAGGCCCATATTTATTGCCTGATCCTTTGAGCTGATGTAGCAGTGGAAAAATCCACAGCATTCACTGCAACTAAGGAGCCTTCTTTCCCGCCCACACTTACGGCTTTGTCTGTGGGTCCACACACTCTAGGTTTCTATGGAACATCTACCAATTTCCCTTAAACTTCCTGCCTTGCAATCTGATAAAAGTATAAAGATTTTGGGAGGGGAGCTGAATTAATTCTCTAGTCAACACAAAAAATGTAAAAACTCTCGATTGAGGAATGGCTGCCTGGAATCTCATTTGAACGGATACTTTTTGGCCCAGCAAGAGATTAATCATTAGTAGAGAGAAAACATCTTTTATGTTAATTTCTTCAGAAAGATGGAGTTCTCCTTATTCATAAAGCATACAGAATCAGAACACTGTTTTCTGCAAGATAATCTATCATTTTTAAAGATAATGGAAACAATGTTAAACTAAAATGTGTTTATTGATCAAACTTGGTTTTTGGTGTTGTGAGTTTCCTTATTTTTCTGTGTCTCATTAAGAAGCTGGAAAATACAGCATCAAAAGTTGCTAGTTTGATTTAATTTTGAGTGAATCCCTGATAATAAATATCATGAATATCATGTACTAAACCTGAAATAAAATAATAATAAAAAGAATAATGTAAACACATAGTACTTGCTATGTATCAGGCACTGTTGGACAAATTTATGTGTTTATATGTAGTCCCTTTCTAGGATGCGAGATCTTTGGACAGGAATCAAGTTCTGATGTTATAGCACTGGCATCTAGTAACTTGCTTAATATTGTCAGTATACAGTAAAATTGAATTAATAGTCACAATGAGACCTGAGCTAGATATTCAGCTGAGAGAGAATTTCTAAAACAATGGGAAAACCATTTTCTCTCTGTTTTTGTTGCTGCATCTCTGTCTATATCTGTCTCTAACTCTTTGTCCCTCTCTCCCTCTCTTTTTTAGTTTATGGGTTATCAATGGGTATTGAATGTATTTTTAAGGTGATTTTTTTTAAACAAAGCTGTACTAAAATGATCATTTTTTAAAAAGATGGTTTAAAAGAAGACATTATCTTTAAAAGATGATTATGAAATATATGCTGATTCATTCAGCAAGATCCTGTGATACTAGAGGTACTGTGCAAGATGCTTCAGAGCATGCACCCTGATGGCCCTTATGGTTCTCCAACGTAGATATGTAGGCAAGTAATTCATTTTGCAATATACTAAGGGCCATAAAGATCATATAAATAAAGCACTAAGGGAAGAGACCAGACAAACTTTTAAGATTTGCGAAGACTATTGTGTAGAATGCATAGATATTTAACAATTTTCAGGATGAGAAACTATCCAACTCCCAGAGAGTTTAGTAGTTTCTTCAGTTGAATGCTGGTGCGTAGTCCAATGGAAATCAGTTCCCACTAATTTAGTGTGGATTAGCCTAGACCCATGCCCTTTCCACAGTTTCGTGTTGCTTCCACATGACAGCTTTCTTCTTAAATCTTGAAGGGAAAACTACTCAACAGTAGATTCCAGCTCATTCCTCCTGACCTAGGAAAGCATGTCTCTGGGACGAAAATCTCCTAAATGTCCTTCTTGGGGCTCGTGATGGCTGAGTGGGGAGGACATTTCTTATGCATATCTCTTCCAATAAAGCTTACATCAGAGACAGTCCTGGGCAGGTGCTAAAGGAATCCCTCAAAGCCAGCTTGGATGATGGTAACATGTTTTCTTTCCTTCAGGTATCTTATTTGGTGTGATGTGTACTTCCATGGCTGTGGCTGCATCCCTCATGGGGAACGTTACACAGGTAGGTAATCAATGAAGGAAAAAGACACATTTGATTTCACAGCAACTTTTCACCCATTTTCTTTTCTAATAGAAAAGAAAATCATTTTGCCTGTTCCTCCAAGTCATTCTCTGATACCAGGTCCAAATTAAATATACATGTCAAAATTCAACCAAAATTACTTTCAGAAGGGGGAACTAAGAAGGGGGACTCATTGACAAGGTACACTGTAATAAAATGAAAACTCTTTTAAAATTCAGCCTGGGAATTTATGATCCTGAAATAAAAGTAGGAATGATCATTATAATAGTAAAAACAATAATAACAATTGACATAAATGGAATACTTATTATATTCTAGGTACAGACCCAAGTGTATTACCTCATTTAATCTTCACCATTTCTCTAAGAGGTAGTAGGGTTAATGTACTCATTTTACAGATGAAGAAACTAAAATGTAGAGAGGTGAAGTAATGGTCCCAAAGTCACATAACTAAAGAGTGGTGGAGCTGGGATATGACTCATCCATTGTCTACCTGCTAACCAGGCTGGACTGCTTCCCATATGTCCAACTCTCAGTTCCAAAAAATGTCAGCACTAGAAGAAGTCTTAAGGGTAATGTTTTAACATCTTCATTTTGTAGATGATTACAGAAAAGAGCGAAAATATCTTGCTCAAATTCTCACTGGCAAGTTGATGAGGTTTGTCTTTACTGATTTCAGCAGCATCTTTTAAGCTTTATTTTCCTTCATTCATAGAGATTACATTTCCAAGTTGTCTCTGATGCTTTGTCTCCTATTGCTTTCTCACCTATATTCAAATATTAATTACCTTTAAGGCAAGAAATGAAAATTCTGAGTTTTTGTTTCCTGAGAAAGATATTTGTCTGAAAGGTGGCCCTCTCATTTCTCTGAACGCATCTGACGAGACAGGTGCAGAAAGGCAACTATAATTCCCCTATTTAATTTTCCAAGCAGCTTTGCTATTTTTAATGAATACAGTGGAACAGCATTCATATTCAGCTTTTACATATGGAAAGATGAAATCCAAGTGCCATAGGTGTGAGAGATAGAACCAGATTTAATTTCACGTTTACGAAACCAATCCATATTCATGGTGTGTGTTTTTGGATGGTGCTGAGGGCAGACAGCTTGATGCTACTTAAACAAAGACTTTTTCAATATTTTAGTTTAGGATTTTACAAAGTGTGTTCTGGAGACCTTCATCCTGTAAAATGTTCCAAGAGAGAAGAGTCAAAGGCTTTTTGGGACTTGCTGCACACTGCATTCCCCTCTTAGAAATCCCCAGCACATATTAGCATATTAAAGTTTAGGGAAGACCTACAGTAAAGAAATATGTGACCATAGAACTTTTTGTGGGGAGAGGGAGGAGACAGGGAGAAGAGGCAGGAAACAGCAGCAAAGATCTGTTAACTAATGATTTGCAGAGCTCCCTTTGGGAAAGGCCATTCTGTCCATCATGCTCTTATTTTAATGGCCATGAGCTAGTTCTGCTAAGGGCTATGATAACTTTCAGGCCATTCTTATCTCTATTTAACAAAGTGCTTCCTAGATCTCAAAACAGCCCAACAATCAAATGACAAGCCTCGGGAACCAGAAAGCTCACTAACAGATAGGTAATAACAACAATATAAGAAGATAATAATAATATTAGATAACTTATCATGTGTTCTGGATTGCTCAGTCACTATTCTGAGCTTTCTCTTGGATTCTATATTGGAATACTCACCAAAAACACAAAACAGACACACAAACAAAAACCAGAAAGCAGGTATTAGAATTTCTACTTGACATATGAGAAAGCTAAGGCGCAGCAAGGTAACTCCAACCCCCAAACACATGTTTTAGCCATTGCCCCCAACTTTCAGAAATGGCTTAGATGAGATTTAAATTTCTCCAATAAAATATGCTAATGACAACAGAAATAAAGATAAAAATTAAGGTTAGTTTAGTTTTGCACACTACAGAAATATATATTTTTTAGATCTAGAAACTTGGATTATTTTTTTCTTTCTATAATGTAAGACCTGTTTTTCCTGAAGCACATTGGCTAGTGAGTTTCTAAGAAATTTTTAATTTTGCACCCCCACTCCTCATAAGGGGGAAATAAGCATCTTTCTTAAGTTATTGAGCCTCCCATGTAATAGCAAGTAAGTCTTCCAAATTCAGCAACCACAGCAACTATGAATTAATGCTATCAATCAGCAGAGGCAATATCAAGAATATTAAATTAAGTATCTACACTGCGGAAAAGTATCGACTTTAATCTTACCTGCCTCCATCTTGCCCAAGACTTATCTGTGGCATTGACTTCTCTAAAAATTACCCTAGCAAAACCATCATAACAATGCCTGCAGCTCATCCTTCTGGACAAAATAACTTACATTATAGGTGGAGGGGACTTGAAGGTCATATCTCCTTATTTTTTATAGAGAAGAAAGACTCTTCTGAAGTAGAATATATTTGAGTTATAAGAGAAGGTTCACCAAATCATAGTTATTTGTGGAAAGGCCATAATTTGAATTCAAATAATCTACTAGTGATGGACTCTTTCAAAAAAGTTTTTCCCCTTAAACATAAAAAGAAGGCTCGTAAGGTGATTTGTGCTCTTGATTTTTTTTTCTTTTTCAACACTGTTTTTAGGAGAGAAAATGTGGGTTTTAGAGCAAGACAAAATGGCATAAAACTCTTAAATCTCACCTCTGCCACTTTCTAGATGAAATTACATCTTTAATATGTTTCCTTTTAGTCCAATTTTCTTATCTATAAAATTCAGTTAGTGTTACCTACTAAACAGAGTAATTGTAAGGATTAAATGAAGTCACTTATTTGGAGTGCCTGGATAGTTAATCTTTACTATGCCTAACAAACATGAGATACTGTCTACATAAGGTCTTCAGAGCATCCTCATTTCAGCGCCTTGATCTGAGGGCCTTACAGTTACATTAATGGAATTAGAGTCAACTGCAGAGTAGCTGTGTGTGAATGTACGTGCTCACTTGCCTGCATGTCAGTGACTGTGTATATTCAATACTCTTGGAAGGCCATGGAACAAGACTGTGGGTTGACAAAATTGTTTAATGAAAGTCTCTCACCAGTTCACTAGGTTCAATAGCTTAGAGGCTAAGAAACGCATTTGTCAAATTCCCTTAATTTCCAAAAAAGATAGAGCTATAAAAACGAGAAATGAGATATGTGTCCAATGGCTTCTGCAAGAATCCTTCTACATCCTTGAGGTGTTCTGAGTGGGGTGGCAGAGGTGGGGTAACAGACAATTATTATAGTCTGTTCAAAGTAAATTAGAACAGCTGATCGGCTATGTAAAACAGGAAATGTAAGTTATAGATGTATTTATTTGGTACAGTATAAAAAACACTTTTTGAAAAGATAGGAAATACAAACAAGTCAATGAGTTCCAGATTGACGGAAAGCTACTTCTACCAAATCCAAATTACCTATGCCTGTGGACACACGCACACACAAATGCACACACACGTTTGTATATATTTTTACTTTTTCATACGATGTTTATCATTGAGCTCAGAAGGTGGAAATGATTTCTAGAAAGCATAGGATTAATGAGTGGCACAGTTAGGATGAGGACTAAGTTTTGTTCCAGGTCCATGAAAGAGGCGGTTCCAAATGGGCCATGGATTCATGATTCTGATCTCTCTCTTTTCCCTGCAGTCTGCCCTCAGCATCCACGGCATGTGTGGGGGACCGATGCTAGGTTTGTTCGTTTTGGGAATTGTGTTTCCTTTTGTGAACTGGCAGGTAAGAATCCTGTACTCCTCTCTCCTTTCTCAACTCTCATTCCTCCTTGGAAAGGCCATTTGTTTTTGCCAGAAGAAAACAGTGGCTTCTTTCCATAGGAGAACTAAACGAAATCCGAGCCCTCCTACCTCTGACTTTGAAGCAGAAAGTAAGAGGCGCTCATGAAATACCAAATGTCATGGGATTAAAGCTGATTCTTTAGGGTTTAAATTGTCTTTTCTAAAGTGAATGAAATTTAAAATTGAGTTTGAATTCAGAAAATTGATATTGAATTCAGAAATCATTTAGTTAAAATATAATTTTTAAAACTTAAAAAAATGTAAATCTCTTATTTTTCTATATTTTTACATAAATTATAACTAATTTAAGTTAATGAACTAATTTAAGGAGGGGAGAGGAGACAAACTATATATTCTGAAAGTTGCTCGACTTTAATGGCTGACAAGCTAATAGTATGTCTTGAAGTAAATTTTAGTTGAATGACTGTAGTAAGTATAAATCAAAATAAACATTTATTTGAAAAGATAATATCATATTTTTAAACATTTAAATATAATTTTTTTCAATCTAGCAAAATTGCAATTTTTTATAATTGCCGTTCATACACTTACATGCCTACATTTTTAGAAAGTGTTTAGACTCTATGAAACCTGACTCTATAAATATTTGTAACATATTATGAGGTGCTCAATAAAGCTTGAGTTACATGATATACCTAATTAGGTCTCTGTGGCTATCTGACTCTTATTAGCCTCTACTCTAGATAAATCCTGTGTGGTTAAGTAAGGAGAGTGGGTAGGTAGTGAACATTAGGAATTTGCAGTGCCTCCCCTAAGGTCTTATTAGGAGATACTTTGTATGATTCTGCTTTTCTGATATCGAGGTTGATAAGGATAGTTATGTCCTCGGGAAGGTAGTATGATAGAAGGTAATTTCTTAGCCACCAAAACCAAAACCAAAACAAAACAAAATAAAAAAAACTAATAACTAGCTACATAACATCTTAACACATTCTCAACATTTGTTATCTATGTTAGTGAATTACAGTACTTCTATTTAGTCAGGAAAACCACCTTGTTCTAGAGAGAAGATAGTGAATATGGCAAATTTGGACCACCCCTATCCTTGGCCATGTCGATCCTACTAATCACTCCTCACTCTCCTTCCACAGACTGTGGAGGTGACCACAGAATCCTTCTCAGCATGACTCTCCACGCAGCCACTCTAAATCAGCAAGGGTTGAACTTCCTACTGAAGTCCACTCACCCTTTACTTGTAGGCCAGGGGGTGAGCAAACTATACCCTTCAAACCACATCTAGTTATTTTCTTGTTTTCGGGATAGCCTGTGAGCTAGAAATGATTTGACAATTTTAAATTGTTGGAAATAATCAAAAGAAGAACACTATTTGATGACACATGAATATTAAATAAAATTTACATTTCAGTGCTCAGAAAATTTTACTGAGATACAACTACTCTTCTTTGTTTACATATTGTCGATGCCTGTTTTGTGCTATAATGGCAGAATCGAGTAGTCGTGACAGCCCCCGTATGGCCCGCAAAGCCTAAAATACTTAATAGGGGGCTGTTTCTATAGAAGTTTGTAGACCCCTGGTTTAGACCGAAGTACAAATATTCAAATCACGTACATTGCTTTAGTTTCTCTCGAATAATAATGAAAAGAATGTTCTAGTGCTGTTTTTGAAGTCCATTACCCGAGAGTCTCCTAAACTTCTGAAACTCTGCTACTGGGAACTGAGTTCGAAACAGCTTTTTAAGTGATAAAAGAAAGAAGCCAAAAGGAGAACAAAAAGATTCCTGTTAGAAATCTAAGTATAATGATCGCTGTAAAATTATCCAGTGTCTTATTTAAGGAAAAATTATTTCTAAATAAAGCTGCATTGTGAGAGTTGGAAGAACGCAATTTGAGTGGGTTGTTTCCAGAATGTGTGGCAAGATCTCGGGCGGGAAGCCAGAATCTCTGAGGCACAATATTCCTTACTTCATTATTCTTTCAACAGCTTTGTCAAATTTCTCATTAATTTTTATTATTTTTTTTCCTTTATTAAGGGAGCACTAGGGGGCCTTCTGACTGGAATCACTTTGTCATTTTGGGTGGCCATTGGGGCCTTCATTTACCCTGCACCAAATTCCAAGACATGGCCCCTGCCTTTATCGACAGAACAGTGTATCCCATCAAATGTGACGAAGTCAGTGCCTCCAGTGCTATCTAGCAGGTACGCTGACCCTAAAGATGGCAATAAGTCCTGGAGAGTGAGTTACTAGGTTAAAGACAGGGGTGTTCTTCAGCAATGAGTCTGACAAGACAGATCTTGCTTTCTTGTAAGGATCCCTGTGGGCAGCAGACAGTATTGCCAAGTGCCCTGTAAGGATCCAGCTTTCTGCAGATTACCATTCCTCTGTGTTCTGGTGTACAAGATAAACAAGGCAAAAGGATTAGTTGGAGATATGAGCGCAGAACATAAAAAAATTGTGAAAAGTTTGAAAATAGGTAGGTAGATATGGAGGTCATAGTGTCCTTAAAAGAATAAAGGCTCTGAGTATGATAGGTTTGTGAGCAACACAGAGAATGTGGATGAATTGAGTGAGAAGCGCTGTTACAAACTTACAGTTTCTAAATCAAACTATACAGAGTTTTACAAAGGATTTTCCCTTCTACTTCTGGCTGGGATAACTAATTCAAGATAATTAATACAAGAGATAATATGGTGTAGAGACAAGACCATGGATTTTGGTATTGGAAATACCTGGGTTGGGATTTTGGTTTTACCATTTATCCATGCTGTATCTTTGTGCAAACTAGTAACTTGCCACTTCTTGAATTCCTTGAATTCTCGCAGTCTTTGGCTAAAAGATGAAGGTAATAATTCCCTTACTGGAATTTTGAGAGGATTAAATGAGATATCCAGGGGCACTGTACCTGACTTTAATAAATGTTCATTCTTGCATCTAATTGTGCTCCTGAGTACGCAGTCCTTTCTATATAATATATGAGTGCTCTATTATCTTGCTTCCATTTGTCTCTGAGTTTCAATTAGTTTAGAGTTATTCCTCTCCACAAATATTATAGACAAACAATATCAAGCTGTTTCATAGTCATCAGGTCTATGTTATTTCTTTCTTCCTGACTATGCTTATTGTGTTCTCTTTTCTTGGAATGCTAAATTCTATCCTTGACTACCTTCTTTGCTTGACTAACTTCTAATCATTTTTTTTTTAAATGAGCTGGGATATCATCTTACACATCAGCCTGGGTTTGGTACTCTTTCTAGTACTCACAGAACCTTTTGTTCCTATTACACCAAGTTGTTACCACTTCATTCTATAATTGTTAGCTCCTATATGTAGACTTTTTCGCTTACTTATCTTTTAATCTCCAATGTTTGTTACAATTTCTGGCACTAAATCTGGGATTAATAAATGTCCAAAGAATAAATAATAGAAAAGAAATGAAAGACACATCCTCATTGCAATCGAAATTCAGTAGCAATATTTGTAATTTGCAGGTGGATTGAATAGAGTAGAATACAAAGCACAAGTAGTTTACCTTTGGTTCTTCAAAAAATGGCAAAAAGTTAAGCTTTGGGGATCTGGGAGATGCCAGGCTCTAAAATGAACCCTCAGCAGTTCTCTGAGTCACTGTGAATCTAACTTCAGAACCTGCAGATGTGGTGACATGTGCTGTTGTCTTTCACAGGCCCGCACTCGCTGATATCTGGTATTCACTCTCCTACCTTTACTACAGTGCAGTGGGCTGCCTAGGATGCATTGCTGCAGGAGTAATCATCAGCTTCATAACAGGTTGGGTACATGGATTCCTGTCTTTGGGGCCAATGAAATCATGAGTTAGTCTTGTGCATTAGTGAACTAGGTGACTGTTTTACTGGTGTGATTTTGGGTCCACCAAAATATGAATAAATTATTAAGATATTCTATTTTTCCACTGCTATTATATACCCATAGGCAATGGGAAGTAAAGATTTTTATTCAATACATAATCTGAATGGTCATAATTCTGGTGACTGTGTACTGGAAACACTATGTGTGAGCTCGTGACTTGCTATTCCAGGCATGATATCACCAGCTAGTCACTTAAATTTAAGCCAGTTTGAGGTGTGATAAGCAATAGAACATAAAAGTTGTAACTTCATGTGCTCATGTAGTAAAAACCCCACAATATCTTTATGTAAATGGGCTCAAATGAAAGGTTGTTCACTTACTGTGTTTAGATTTTTGTTTCAGTCCCCCCAAAACCGTGGATACTTCCTTGATGCAGGTGGGATACACCTAGGCTTATCGGTCAAGTCAATTCACTTTTAGAAGACAGCCCAAGTTTTAGCTGCCCGGTTCCAAAGCAGGAAATATGTGCACGCTAAACGCTGTGGCTTGCCAGTCTTGATATTTTTCAGATGCACATCAAAATTGACATGTTCTTGTGTTGACGTAGCAGCACTTACGTTACATTTGGATTGAAAATTATTTGGCATCTTGAGCATGAACAACTATCCCGGTATCAATCCTTATGTTTTCTTTTTCTATAAATGTCCCAAATCTTAGTGAAAAACCCTTAAGACCAAAAGGGAGCACTACCAGAGTCTAATTATGCCACTCCATCAAATCTTTGGAGAAAGTATTCATCCTTGGCGAAACCGTCCATAATACTCAATGAATCTTTTTAAATTGTCTTAAAATGTTTCATATTGGTTGGCCAGTGTTAGTATGGAAGACCAGACGCCTTCTGTGGGCCTGTCACCTTGTGTCGTATTTTATCTTGGTCTTATTGTTTGTCATGCTTGGCCTTAGTAGGTTATAATTTCAATTCTCCTTCTTCCAGATAATCTAATACTTCAAAGATATACTGTTCATGTTAGTCATACATATTGATAAACAGAATTAGTCTGTGTGGATCAGCATCTTCAGACAGTTTATATCATTAATCATTCTCTGTATCAAATACCAAAAGGTGATCTTGGCCTGAGATACACTTTAAAGCATTTGTTATTCTGGTAAAATTCTACTCGGAAGCTAAAAGTTTTTTTATCCCTCTAATAATGCAAAATAAAAATACCATTTTCTAAATCAAGAACAATGTCCTTGATGACTTACCAAGTAGCCAGAACATCAGACTGTGAGAATATAGCATATAGATTTATGCTGTTCTTTCAGTGGGCAGCAGTTTTTACTCATTTGAATCTTGCCAATTTTTTATTTCTCATTTATCATATGGCTGTAGGTCTCAAATATAAACACTTTAGTTATCAATTCATTACATTTATTTCTTAGGTCAGAGGTTGTCAAACTAAGGGAAAATATGGCCTACTGATTGTTTTTATAAATATGTTTTATAGAAACACAGTCATGCCCATTCATTTACTATTGTCTCTATTGGCTGATATCACTGTACATAGTGTTGAACAGTTTCATCAAAGACCCTTTGACCAGCAAAGCCCAAAGTACTTACAGTCCATATAAATACATGATTCTTGATAACTTAGAATATTATTCAGGAAATTTCTCTGACAAGATCAAAGATCTAACACAGAAGTCAACAACTTTCCATGTGAAGAGCTAGACAGTAAATATTTTAGGCTTTGCTGGCTAGAGACTCTTGTTCCATAGCAAGATTTGGGGAAGAAATGGGACATCGAACAGGTATGTTTTAATGACAGGGAGGGAAGTGTCATGAAAGTCTAGAGAAGCTGGAAGGATCATGAGGGTATTGCTTGTTCAGGATGCTGGGGTGGAAGAAAGAAGAAACAGTAAAAATAATCTTTCTAATTTTACAAATATTGACTCTGATGGCCTCTAATGTATCTGATTTAATTGAACACAGAGAGCTCTCCTAAAGAAAGAAATTATGTAATTCCTGCTATCCCTTCTGTTGGCCTACAAAGGATAGTAGCAGAGTTTTCCATAATAATTTTTGTACATTATATATGTTGTCTTTATCTGTTTAACTCTATAGCCATTAGTTTAACTGACCTGACAGCCTGTGGATGTTTGAAAACTAACCCCCACCCCTTTGAGTGGTTAGCAATTTAGATCTACTAACCAATCAGGCCTGCTTTTACCCTTATACTAAGAAGTGACTTCTCAAGTCGACAGTGTTTAAATCCTTAAAGGAAGTCCTTGAAGTGTGCGAGCATCTAATCCATTTGTTCTTTCATTAATAGGTCACCAAAAGGGCAAGGATATTCAACCATTGCTAATTAGACCAGTCTGCAATTTATTTTGCTTTTGGTCTAAGAAATACAAAACACTGTGCTGGTGTGGAGTTCAACATGACAATGAGACAGAGCAGGTGAGCTGATAATTGAGCTTCTGAGAAATACACATTGGCTTAAAGAGATTCTCCTTTTGTCCATTTAAACCATGTATAAGAGTGGGAAGGGAGAGAGAAGGTAGTGAATATTACAATCTGAAAGTCTGGGTTTCAACTTCAGTTACCTTAGCTGATTAATTTTTAAGCATGTAATTATGCTGATAGTGCCTTTGGGCTAAATTGTTAGCATGGCAAGTGATCAGTTTTCAAAAATTTCTTTTAACCCTTGTGAGGGTGAATTCTAGGAATAATATGAAAAAGAATTATAGAAAAGGAATAAAATAGGAGCCCATTTTAGCATAATGGTGAAAAGCACGGGCTTTAGAGTCAGCCCAGGGTTTAATCACAGTTCTATGTTTTACTTCTCATGGGTAAATTACTTAATCTCTCTGAACTTTAGCTTTTATCTGAAAACTGGGGAGAGATCATGCAGCACGACCCAGACACAAACACTAGTTCCGTGGAGCATCCATATAAAATAAGATTTATTAGGGGAACTTCTTAAGTAAAGCAGCAGCAGGATGCACATAACCCCCCAGCTCTCCTTATCCCACTGAGAGCTGTGTTGAGGTGAGGCAGGGCTGGGGACACTGCCACAACAGCCAGAGACCCAGGAACAGCCTGTGGTCAGACCAAGTTAGATGGACTGACTGGATGCAGTGAGGGGTGGGGGGCACTCCAGGGGAACCACGAAATGCCGCCCTCAACAAAAGGGAAGATGGACATGTATTTTGGATTTGGGTTCCTGCTAAATGATTCTGAGAGGGGTCTCAGGGAAGTGGGAATGAAAATAAAGATGTCTGGAACAGCACTGGCAAAAAATCACAAAATCCCTCAGAGTTATTACAACATTTGACAACTGCATGACATTGGGAGAAGCAATGTTTCTTGCTCTGTTTGCAGCTGGTCTTATCTGTGTCTGTCCTCTCATCCTAAGGGCAGGTGTATATTTTTATTTCTTTTCTAGTTAGGGCTTCTTATAATTCAGTCCCAGATATTTCTTTTTCTTTCTTTTTTTTTAGTACTCAGGTGAAGGCTCCTCACCCTCATCACATCATCTGAGTTGTCAATTGCTCTCTTTCCCCAAAACACTATAGTAACAGGTATATCAAGAAAAATTGAGTTTAATAGTTACTCAGTAAGGAGAACACCACCATGACAGGGGGGCAAAGGGGGAAGGCAATCTATTTTGCTGAGAGGGCAGCTGATTGAGCAGTGTATTGTTTGGATAAATGGATTGTGAAGAAGTTCTAGAAGGAAAAAATCAAGTTATTTACTGGTTTACAGACTTATGTTCCTGGGCAAGACCTCATGGAATAAACGATAAAACCTGTTAATGCAGGCAGTTTCTATTCTCAAGGCTGAGTTGAGAGTGGGAGGGAACACTTAGCTGTCGTGATTGGGCTCCTTTGACAAAGAATATCATTGAGCAGCCTCCAGGGACATCTATATACAGGTTCCCTTGTTATGACCAAGATGCTTGCTGTTTATAGGAAAGAATGGGGCCTCCGCCATCTGAGACACAGGCTGTCTCTCCTCAGGAGGTAATACTGCCATGTTAAAGGTTTTCTGTATTAAATGAGAGATATATACATTTCCTCACACAACACGAGATGTATTATAAATGTTCACTAAATTGTTCTATTTTTATTATCATTAAAATAGTACCTACATAGATTGAGGCATCAAAGTCATCAATTAGGATGTGACTTGGGTCAGAGTTATTTGTGCTACTTTCATATTTATATGTTATTTTTTATAAGGGGGAGGCCAAGGAAGAGCTTCTTAGTTCAATTTAAAATACATCAAGGCTGTCTCACTGATATGTGTCTTTACATTTTCCTCAGGAAAACCTTGAGGATGGCAATACCTGGAAACAAGGGGCTGAATCTGTCTCACAGAATGGTCTCAGGCAAGAAAGCCTGGTCCATATTCCAGGCTATGATCCCAAAGACAAAAGCTACAACAACCCGGCGTTCGAGAATGTTACACATTTCTAAGGCAATACGGGCATATACACACACGCGCACACACATGCACACACATATATATGTAGTCCACATACTTCTTGCCTCTTGGTTAGTAAACTTGTGTAGTTGCCACTGCTAGAAGACAGGGATATCTAATGTCTATTTATACTTATTTATAACTACAAATAAAATTACTGTTCCTCAGGATATTCTTTGGAAGACCCATTCAGGTGAGAAAAACAGCCTAGCCTTAAGTGCCTTGGTGACTTCCTTCATGAATAAAATAGGACTGTATTTCATCACAGTACAAGGAATCAGTCTCTGCTTTGTGTCATTTTATCGGTTGTCTTTAAACCATCAAAGAGCTTGGAGTTTACAGGTAGAACGAGGAAGCGGATGTGCATATTACATGCTTCTTTGTTACTGCTGATAAAACGAGGGAATGACATCCACACCAACCCCCAAACCTCCTATATATGTAGACACATTTCATATTCTCCGCACCCTGCAGCTGCAGTTGGAACACTTAGCCTCTATTAACATACACATCTTTAATGCCTTAAAAATAATTTTGCTCAGCACAGGAGGAGAGACTGGTATGTCTGGTTAGTGGGAACAATTATAACTAAATACTCTTTTCTCTTTGTGCTCTCAGTGTAGTAATTTTTTTTTTCCTTTTTATCACCTTACAGTGAAAAAAATTGACTCTGTTCTCAACAGAAAGTCTGAATTCTTTCTCTAGGGCTGGGTAAAGAGCAATGTCCTATAGGAGGCTGCTGGGATAGAATTGTATAAAAGAGCCTTACAAATAGCTTACCAGTCCACAGGAGGTTTCACAAATCAGAGGGACTTATTTGGTACAAAATACCTCATTCCCAGGATTTATACTCTGTACTTTCAGCTCATACTTTGGAGTTCGATGTGTTCCATCAGGCTAAGGTGACAGAAGTAAAGATTTTAATAGTTAAACTCTAGTAAATAATTTTCAAAATTCTAGAGTAAGAGGGGACTGCAAATCAAAAGGTGAGTTAACAAATGAGAGACAGTGAAAGCTTTTCAGAAGTAAAATAATTAAATCCTTAAAAGGTTAAAAAAAAAAGAACCAGTGCCACAGGGGCTAGATCAGAGGGAAAATAGTAGGAACCAAAACGACGTCAAAGTGTCAGGTATCTCAGGGCAGGTGTCAGATATTTATTTCGTGGTCAGGTAAGATCAAGAGGCCTAGAAACAGTATGTCAGCAAAATAAGAAGAAATGGTCCAAATAGGCGAAGATAAGGACTCCTGAAGGTTGTTGGGTTGTCTAAATGTCACCCAGGAAGAGGAAAAGTTATGAGATAGGAGGAAAATTATGTAACCAGTATTTG